ATAAAACTTGGAGGACAACTGAGTTCACTTGATAGCTCTTTCTATAATCCATACTTGTCCATTGGTTTTTATAACCAACAAGATAATTAGTCTTCATCCTCTCATCAAAGCTGTGTACACTGACAAACTGTTTCATGTGAGAGCGGAAGCAGAGGAATTGCGTAAGTCCAAAAGCTCTATACATTTGCATAGTGAGAGTATAGGGCTGCCTCGATCTACTAACTTTTCCATATCTTTTTTTTTCTTCTCAGGTGCAGTAATTTTCATAATGGAAACACTGAGTTGGACTTTGAAGTTTCCCACAGCCTAACATAATCTTACTTGATTCCAAAGCATTACTTCAGCTCAAAAGTGGCTCACAAAGCTTAAATCAGAAATCCTCTACAGCAGGTTTCAGCAACTTTAAATATATCAAGTCAAGACGATCTTTGCACTGAGCTCATGCCTCTGCCATGAGAGGACAAATAAAAAAGTTATTTGTGGTCCAGAGCTTGAATTTTGTCACCCATTAAGCAGTTCCTGGACCTTCTGACAGTTCCTCCAGGTTCTGTTGCAATGCATATGAGGGGTACCAGGCAGAGTTAACTTTCCAGTGGTGGCCGCAGAGGAATACAGCCATCCATCTCCAGTGACTCGGGCCAGCCTTCATATTTGTTGCTGCTTTTACTGTTTTTCATACGCTAAGGGGGAAAGACAAACGTAAATGATGTCAGCAAAACAGACTGGGATCAGGTTCCTATAGCACAGTAGCTGCTGAATAATTGTACACAGAGTGCTGAACAGCCATTGAAAACCCCCCCCCCCCCCCAAAAAAAAAAAAAAAAAAAAATCTGCATTATCATGTGGTAGTCCAGATGCAAAAAAACCCCTAAATCAAATGAAAAATGCAAATATCTTATTAGCCAATCACATGGCAGCAACACCAAGCATGTAGGTACAGAGTTGCTACCATGGCCAACACGACCTGTTGAACTTTAAACTTCAGTAGGTTAATCTTTTTTTTTTAAAGCAGGTTAATGTTTAAACTTCTGAAACCCAAAGAAAGATGCCTTAAGTGACATTGAACGTGGCATGGTTGTTGGTGCCAGACAGGCCGTTGCGAGTATTTCAGAAACTGCTGGGATTTTCCTCAGCAGCTCGACGCCAGAGAAGAACTGACACATTGTAGAAATGCAGCATTAACTTAAATTATGACTTGTTAAAATGCAGGTTTACAGAAGAGGATCTATAAAAGTTGAATTTTAAAGAAAATGGACTACAGTGGTAAAAGACCACCCTGGGTACCATTCCTGTCAGCTAAGAACAAGAAACTGAGGCTACAATTCACACAGGGTCACTGACATTAAGTTAACAATAGATGATGGGAAAAATGTTTCCTGGTCTGATAAGTCTCGATTTCTGCTGCAACATTCAGACCGTAGGGCCAGAATTTGGCGTAAACAACATGAAAACATGAATCCATCCTGCTTTGTATCAACAGTTCAGAATGTGGTCGTGTGCTGGCCTTTAGTGCAAACAGAGCCTCTGCAGTCTTAGTCTCACAGTCACAGCTCTCAATCCAACAGAGCACCTTTGGGATGTGGTTGAATGGAAAAACATACATCATGGATGTGCAGCCTACAAATCTGTAGCAACTGTGTGATGTTATCACATCAATATGGACCATAATCTCAGAGGAGTGGTTATAGATAATGCTGTTTTGTAATACTGTTGTGACAGTTGCACTGTGATCTAGTCGCACAGGAAGAATATTTTCTACTGAACATTGGCGTCACATCAAAGACAGCACACCGACTCCACCTTCAGCCCTCGATCAGCACTAATAGTAAAAGGAACAAACCTGCTCAAAGGGACTCTTATTCTCAATACCCTTGGCTCCAACAAACACCCAGCTGTCTCTAAAGGCCAAATCCTTCACAGCTGTGCTCCCGAGCTCCTCAAAAAGCCGTCGAGACTCTTCATTCAGCCTGACATAGTGAAAAATACAAACAAAAAACCAAAGACAACAAACAAGTTTAGAGGGTTTTTTTAAACATGCTCTCTGCACAATTTTATTTCAAGGAAACCACAAAGTTACAAACACCATTTGCTTAATAAGGAAGATATGGTGGTCTCTGCAATAAATTCTCATCATGAACACTTTAATAACCATCATCCAAGACATCAAGAATTAATTGAATCAGTCTGATTTAATTCAGCTCTACACTTTGTAAATCTAATTTAAATCGAATCATGAAGTCGGTGTTCACATGTAGCACCCCCGATAAATCTTAAAAGGTGAAAAACTTTTGTGTCAAGCCTGCCATTCACTGTCACATTATCATATATTCTTCCTTGCACTGCTCAGTGACTGTTTAACTTGTTAGGCTTCCCAGATAAATGCATTCAAATTTATTTTATAGCAGAAATTAAATACATGAAAATGTGACAGCACATGAGGCAAAATCCTCTTTGTTTTACTCTACTAAATATTTATAACACAATACTTCATAATATGAACTATTCCCAGGTTTCTATTAAAATTGGCTAATGTGAAAGGGGAGGAACTGGGAGCGCAACACAAATCCTTACTTTGTAGCTGCATCATCAAAGGAGGCCACAAACACAAGTGTTCCCTCATGAAGAGGCCGGAGAAACTTCAACAGGTCAGAAACATCTGAAAATGAGCATCAAATGAGATCTGAAGTGCAGTTTATGGGTTGTTACTGCCAAAGTGTATGGACTACAGGACTACAGGATATTAAACATTAATGTCTGGTTTTTATTACCTCCTGCCCACATATCAAAGGTTTTCGTCTCCAAAAGCTCGCCAGTCACCCCTGGAGCAAAGATACATCAGTAAAATGTTAAAACAGCACCATAAAAAGGAGCTAAAAAACAAAAACAATATAGTTTGCTAAAACGTGAAGAATAAGAGTCTTACCATTCACCAAGGCTATGTTTAGTCCCCTGCCAACATTGTTCTTCACACTGCTCACTAACCTGTTAGACAAAACCACAAGGCTTATACATAGCTATTTAAACTCTTATTCACACTATGTAACACTTATATGGGCCAAGACAACAGGCAAAACGGTGAGAGGGACCAGCAGAAAGAAACAATACTTGCATTCAGCTCCCCAGACAGGCTTGAAGGCCTGGTTATGACAGCACAGAGGAAAAAAACAGAACAGTGTGAAAACAAAACAAAACAAAAAAAAGGGGGGAAAAGGAGGGACTAAGGAGAGACAAAGACATAGATGAAGAACCAGAAATAATTAACACTGAATCTCACATCTTGTCCTCTAGGCAGATTTTAGGGCCAATGACGTTGGCAGCACCAGACACCAGACGGAAAGCCAGATGTTTTGGAGGACAAGGGGCTGAAAGTCCACATTTATATTTTCGTGGGTGGGGTTCTGTTAAAAAACATGTTGATCATAAGAAGGAAGATAAGAATGCAACTTTGTGAAAGTATTAATTAATGAGTAAGGTTATGCTGTACAGTTTGCTTACCTGGTGTTGCGTCTTCACTTGTACCTGAAAAAAAGCAAACAAACAAAAAACAACTGATTTCTTGATTAAACTTACCAATGTTATATTCCGAAAACCCAGCCATCAAACATGCATCAACTTTAAACCAACACACATAACTTGTCTGTAGCTTCGTCACTAAGATGGCAGACACATTAAAAACTGATTGCAGTTTAACAACTGCTTGTTTTGACCAGTTAGCAATACAAACACAAAAGATTTAACTCGCATAAAACACACCTAACAATCCAACGTGTAAAGTCATATTTTCCTCCATGTTTGGTAAATTTTATTTGCTTGTCAGTTAACTGGTTTCCGCTTGATTCCTCTTACCGCTGAAGAAATGCAGCACAGAGGACGCACTCTCCCCTCCAAATAAGGTGTTTGCCAGCAGCCAGGTGAAACCCACCAGCAGCACCACAGCCACAGCTCGCAGGGGGCCTGTCACAATGATCAGGACACATCAGCTCAGGCCAGAAACATATGGGTTTATCAATAAATCCCCATTGAAAATATCAACCCACCTGTTAATCTCATGCTTCACTCTTTCATAGACCTGGGGAGAAGAAAAGCATTGACATTAGAGTGGCTTAAGTAGTTTAACAAGACAGGAGACTTTTTAGTAAAACGTTCTTATTTAAAATACCATTTCCCAGCTTCTAGTTATACCAAATATTATAGTCTTTGCCTGTAGTCTACCTTTAGTTTTAAAAGATGATAAAATCTGAAAGAAACACAGTCATGAATAAAAAATGTAATTATTTTAAATTATTTAAAAGGGTATTTTTCCTCTTTGTGACGTTTCTCTTCCTAGCTTTATGTTTTTATTTATTAATTTTTTTTACAGTGGCCCTGCAAAATGGCTCTGCAGAGATGACGTTTAAAGGTTTTAAAATGAACCCAAACAATCTCAGAGACGAGACACTGAAGAATGAACCCTTAGCGATGTTGTCAATTACATTTCTACTAGAATTAGAACCGGAAAAGTTCACTTGTTTACCTTTACAAGCGAGGATCGCCTTGTTTTGCCGCCTTTGCCCGGCTGTAACGAACAGTAACGAGGAGCTGTTGCTCTTGTCACCCTGGACTTTTTGCTATTTCTTGCGCTGTTTCCTCATTGAGTCGTCCCTGACATAAATACGCTTTCAGTAAGAAGACAGGCTGAAGTTGGTATCCTCTTTCGACGAACATGGAAAAAGACCTGGTTTAATTTAGCCCATTTGTCTTCCGGATATAACCTACAGCCCACCCCGAGCCTTTTCCACGGACCTCAACCCGTCAGTACAGAGTCTGCGTGAAGTGGCTCACGTGACCAAAAAAAAAGATTCTAAAAATTATTTTTAGTGTTTTGTTTTTTTTACTCAAATTCTTACAATATACATCACACTTAAGAAATAATAAAATAAATTAAATAAATAAAAAAAGGAACAGTCTTTCTGTCACATCGGCACATCTGCTCCTCTTATTAAACACGCGACCAGCGCTGCAAAATCAAGATGGCTGCCCACAGTGCCGTACTCTCCGCGTCCAAAATAATGAATCCTTTCTGGGTTGGACGCCTTGGAAACACTGCTAAAGTAAGACAAGACACGCAGCCCTTGCTCTTTCGCTTGTGAATGGTGTTGCGTGGCTCTAATTTAAACTCCGTTATAATTTTTTTAACACAAGGTCATGCTGTTAACATCATTTGATTAGCAAAGCTAGCGGGCTTTTCCACATCTGTGGGTTGGTCACAGGTTTTACGGCATCCGTACACGGGATCCATTTAAAAACACGCTCTAAATCATTTGCACTTTGTATTTTCCAGGTATTTGGAACAACTTTGATCAGACACCGGAATAAGACCTCGCTTACTGTGAGTGAGTCAGATCGGTACATGGGATTGTTGTCAGTTTCCGGGCTGTTTTGCATTGGAAGTTGTCTTTTTCAGTGTAACTGAACTGTGTGTAACTGTGTGTGTGTATATGTGTTTTTCCACTTTGTTGTGGGGTGAAGGTTATGACACTACTCTGTTTGCCACTATTTGGACCAAACCTGTTCTTCTAAACATCAAACTGACTCTTGTCCTTCTGCTTTCCTCTGTTCACCTTCAACAACAGGGAGAAAACATTGTAAGTAGCTGACTCGTGACACGGTTCACTGCAATTCACTGCATCATGTCTTAAACGAGAATATTTTCTATAACGGGGTTATGATATAGGAAAAAAGATATGTGATGAGAATAAAAACACTAGCATGATCAAAATAATATAACAGTTTTTAAACATCATGTTGCATGGATGCATGGAAATTTTGTTACCATCAATTTCTAACCATCTTGAGTCACAATAATAAACACAGTAATGACATCATCAAATCTATTTAAATATTTGTCAAACCTAAAAACACTATTAACTGCCTGAGAATAATCTCTCAAACATACTTACTTGGTGCTCTGGACATGTGCTGGTTGATTTTTGGCCAGTGATTTGTAAGCTGTGTCCATTGTCAGCATTTTCAGCAATTCCTACTGTTATTAATACTACTACTACTATTACTATTATTCTTTTCTTTTGACTTCAGAATTCCTACTGCTTCTGTGTATTAAAGTATTGCATGATATTGTCAACCCACCACAGTGAACATTACTACACCATATCTATTTGTTATTATGTCATTGGTAATGTGGACATAAGCAGACACCAGATACCAAAAACTATCAAATTCACTGTGTACCTTATTTTCATGAGATTATTTGTAGACTTAGAAAGGTAAACTTTTTTTTTCATAACATATGTTTACTGTAGTGGATGATCTGTCTTTAAAAGGTGCCAAACCTTCAATTGTCTCTATTTATTGAAGTTGATTCTTTGGCATTTAACAATCTTCCAGCCCCCTCCAGCAAAGTATGGAGGCAGGCACACTGTGACCCTCATACCTGGTGATGGGATCGGTCCAGAGCTTCTCAATCATGTCAGAGAAGTTTTCAGGTTGGTTAGATTGAATCTCAGTCCTGTTTAGTGATTACATGTCATCTACAGTCACATAAGTATTGAATCCATTGTGTGGTTTGTGAACATTGTGCTGCAGGTTCACCTGTGTGCCAGTTGACTTTGAGATGGTGAATGTCAACTCTGCTTTGGAGACCGATGATGACATGAATAATGCCATCACTGCCATCCGGCGAAATGGAGTTGCCCTGAAGGGTAAGCAAACAGCTTCTTTTTTTTCAATCAAAGTATGAAAGCATGAAAAACAGAACATAGCTGTAAGCAGAGTATAATTTTTAATAAGACAGTTGAACTAAAGTAACTGTGAAACTGCTTACCTCTTTTGATAGGTAACATAGAAACCAAACATACCCTGCCAGCGTCTGTCAAATCCAGAAATAATGTGCTGCGGTAAGTTTAGATGAAATCTTTAGTTTCCTAGATTAGGGTCATTTTTTTGTGTGAAATAGCTCTCATTTCTTACGTAATTTGATCTTTCGTGTGGACTACCAGCACGAGCTTGGACCTGTATGCCAATGTGATGCACTGTCAGTCCCTCCCCGGGGTCCAGACTCGCCACAAGAACATTGACATCATGATCATCAGGGAGAACACAGAGGGAGAGTACAGCAGTCTGGAGCATGAGGTCAGACGCAAGAGGAAAAACAATCAATACTACTGTCTGCTGAAAAACATGTTTATGGTCCCATAAACACTTCTTATCTGTCTCTTTTTAGAAAAGGGAATTGGGTGCCATCTATGCATCATTAATTTTCCAAATCAAAATAACTGTGCAAAATCTTTTGGTCATATGATAGAATTTAATATAGACAATATTGACTTCAGAATGCAACAGATAAAATACGATTATCTGAAACTAAATAAGACTTCTGGGCTGCAAAGAAACATGAAAATGCTGCATTAATAATAATAATAATAATAATGGATTGGATTTATATAGCGCTTTTCAAGGCACCCAAAGCGCTTTATAATGCCACTATTCATTCACTCTCACATTCACACACTGGTGGAGGCAGCTACGGTTGTAGTCACAGCAGCCCTGGGGCAGACTGACAGAAGCGAGGCTGCCATATTGCGCCATTGGCCCCTCTGGCCAACATCAGTAGGCGGTAGGGTAAAGTGTCTTGCCCAAGGACACAACGACCAGGACAGAGAGCCCGGGGATCGAACTGGCGACCTTCCGGTTACAGATACACTTCCCAACCCCCTGAGCCTGTAGTCTGCTGTAGATCCAAATCTACAGCAGACTAAAATGTGCATTGGTGTGCCGGGATGTGTACCTGCTGTGCATGAAGCTACCACTGTGCTCAGAGGTTTACACTGTGAATGTTGTCATTTTGGGCTTTCGAAGTGTTTTGTTTTGTTTTTCAAGGTGGAATGATTATACAGCATACATCTTTAATGACTTAAAAAGAAGGAATTGGGTGCACAAGTCCAAATTTATTTCAGTTTCTCTAATGCACACATGGTCAAAGGTATATATTCAGGCTCTAACATAGTCCATTATTTGTTTATTTGTCCCTTAGTTATTTGTCTGTTTCAGGTTCATGTTAGGCTTGAGCCTTGGTGGTTGTACCTGAACAGTTTCCTCTCACCTGTGGGTGACGGTTTGGGTCTTCCTCCAGATCTTGGTGGAAGTGATGACATCTCTGAATAACTTGTACTCATGCACAGTTGTTTGAACTGAGGATCCTGGAATCTGCTGTTGTTTAAAATTCTTCAGAGAGATCTTCACACCTTGTGTAAATTTACAGTTTTCATTCTTAGATCTTCAGTGAGTTTTTTCAGAGTACTGATCAGTCCAATGAGTGCTCTGACAAATCATTTTTGCTCTGGTAAAGAGAAAGAACCAGTAGTCAATCATAATGACTAAAAAGAAGTTGATACTCCTTGACCTTGTCGAGTTAAAAGACACTGAAGAAGATTCAGCACCACTTATTAAAAGATTTAAGTATATGTTTATATTTGTGCCCATATTTATGTTCTGGCCGTATGTAAATCAGAGAAACTAAATAAAAACCTGTGCACCCAATCCTTATTTTTGTAAGTCATTAAAGATGGATGCTATACAATCATTCCACCCTGGGAAAACAGAACAGTTCAAAGAAATCATTCCGTTACATTTATTCTCTATGATGAATGTATATAAACTTCTGAGCACAGTAACTGTAGTTGTTGAGCCATGTTTGCTTACACAATACAGTTATAGATGCTGTTTTACAATTTGTACAGAAACATATGTTATATTATTAACCACTTAGTACTAATTAAAATGATTATTTTTTATTTACTGCTAATTTTGTTCTGTGTTTGTTGCACTTAATCGTTTTTTTCAATGTTTAGTGTTACCTTGTAGACAGAAGTTTTACTTTATGTAGTATTACGCGTAGTCTTAGAGACGACACTTTATTCCCACTACAGTCTTATTGATCTTTCTAGTACAGTTTAAACTCATGTCACTGTATTTCATTTGTTGTTGTCTTCTTGTCCTACTTCCAGAGTGTATCCGGGGTAGTGGAGAGTCTAAAGATTATCACCAGGAATAATTCCATCAGGATTGCTGATTATGCCTTCAAACTGGCCAGGGAGAGAGGTCGCCGCAGGGTCACTGCTGTACACAAAGCTAACATCATGTAAGTTACCTTTTGGGAAACGTATCCTGTCAAACACGTCTGGCCTTTTGTTTACTACGGTGAGTTTCTTAGTCCTGGATATGCTGAGTGTGGCATTTCTGTTTCAACAGGAAGCTCGGTGATGGCTTGTTCCTGCAATGCTGCAGAGAAGTGGCCTCGGGTTATCCAGACATCACATTCGACAGCATGATTGTGGACAATACCACAATGCAGGTAACAGATGATGACATTTTAGGGAATCCGGGGAATGTTCTTCTTCTGATTTTATTTGTTTTACTTAACTCCATTTGTGTCGTTTAGCTCGTGTCCAAACCACAGCAGTTTGATGTGATGGTCATGCCCAATCTGTACGGGAATGTGGTGAGCAATGTGTGCGCGGGGCTGGTGGGGGGACCTGGCCTCGTGCCTGGGGCCAATTATGGTCGTGACTATGCTGTCTTTGAAACGGTGAGTGTTGGAGGCTTGAATAGGTTTGTAGGACACAGTTCTCTCAGAATTTTGAAGGATGGAAAATGTATGAGTCATGTCTGTCTGGTGTTTCAGGCCACAAGAAACACAGGAAAAAGTATTGCAGAAAAAAACATTGCAAACCCAACTGCCATGCTGCTAGCTAGCTGCCTGATGCTGGACCACCTTAAGTAAGCTTTTCCGGATAAAAATTCTTCTTCATTGGTTTTCTGTGTGTGTGTGTGTGTCTGTATTGGTGTGACTGTATTATATTTAAATAATGTTTTTCTTCTTTGTGTCTCCAGCCTTAATGATTATGCAAGTCTGATCCAGAATGCAGTCCTCACCACAATGAACGAAACCAGGGTGAGCCTTCCTCACTGATGGGTTCCTCACCTATCGCGCTGCCATGAAGCTCACAGGCCATTGTTGCGTGACATAGGATTTAAGGCCGCAGTGACAATTCTGGCATGCTTCCTAGAAGGCATCACAATACATTCACACAAAGCAGCATTGTGCCCCTTTTCCTTTCACAAAGCTCTTGTGCAGCTCTACACTCTATGGGATCTGATTGTTTCTTGAGTAAATTCCAAAACCTGATCTGCCGATCATGTGCAGCATCTGACTAGTTACTGTGGGAAACTGATTACACTTTGCACGCACAAAGAAAATACAAAGCGTCTATCCAAATACAGTATGCGGCATGAGATGCAATCCACAGTGCTACGATTTCATAGCATACGTTAAGGTCTTAAATAATTTAATACAGATTTTGGACCATATCTGTTAGCACCCTGTTCTTTTGTTTGTTGTAGCTTATTTATGATTTTTTTTTTCTCTTTATTTGCAGTTGCACACAGCAGATCTCGGGGGTCAAGGAACCACATCAGAGGTGGTGCAGTCCGTCATGAGGGTCATCCAGAGTAAAGGACAGTTCACGGCAGAGCTGTAAGAATGACCGGGAAGGTTCACGCACCCACGCTCTTATCAGGTGGTTTGAGTTTAAACAGGTGTACCTTCTGAGAGAGGATGTCCGTGTTTCCATAGCATCTCGTTTCACACAGCTTACTTACCTGTTCACAATACAAATGAGCCTGCTTTCTCACTTCAAGGTTTCACATGACCTGTTTAAAAAGGTGGGTTTTGATAAAATTCCATTATCACTCCTGCAAGCATCGGTTTTACTGCTGGAGCTTATTCAGCTGAATATGAATCTCCTTAGAGATTCGTATGAAACATGAAAGGGCCTACTTTAGATATTTAAATATACAAGTATAGGCACGCATCTTCCACTATACCTTCTGCAGCAGCCATTATTTATTTTTCACTTTGTGATTACATCACAGACTTTAAATTAACCAAAATGTCATTAATGCTTAATATAAATGTAAAGTGCCCATTATGTCCTGTTACATCGTTTATGTTCTTATCACAGCAACTGTACTTTGAAGAGGTGATACACTATAGAGGAGCGTGACTGCTGTCAAACCTGAACTTTACTGCTTGTGCCATAATGGCTTTTTTTGGTCTAGGGATGATATCACAATATTATACTGTTGTTTTTGGGTCTGTCCAAGAAAATGCTCATAACGCCTGATATGAAAAGAATGGTTTCATTTTGTTTGTATGTGTGTGAGCATAAGATGTAATCAATAAAGTAATTATATGTCTTAACATCTTTCTTTTGAAGAGAGGTTTGAATTCTCAGCATATTTGAGACGTATTTTGAGTACTACGAAGAATTAGGATGCACGTGGCTGACATGCACTCTAGAAACTAATTGGATATAAATGCAGAGAGAGCAAGCTGCCAGATTGTTAGATACGCCTAGCTGAAATTAAGGTTGTCCACTGAAATAGTTTCTTTAACAGTTCTTTTTTTTTTTTTTGTTGAACCTGTTCTGGAAATGTTTAATATGCTTTAATGATAATTTCTCAGGCTTTAATTTGTGAGTCTGTAGAACTGTACTGCTTTATGCTGACAAGTCATACTGATTGTTCTAATAACTGGGATTTGTTTTGAGTAGCTGTGTCTCATAAATGGACAACTGAGTGTACAGATATGTGCTCAAGAGGAAGCCTCATTGTTACTTTGACTCTGTGCTTCTGAAGCTTTGTGTTCTGGCCTCTTGCTGGGGATAAAGATTAGTAAGTAAGAAAAGCTCGCTGATCTTTCTGTTTGTTTTACAATTTCATGCTCCATCAACTTCTTAACCTTCAAAATTAGATGGTAGGTTGCTGTTTTACATGTTGCCACCAGGTGGCAACACAACTCTCTATAGCTGCCACTCAAAAAACTCACAGCTGCTTGGATGTGTGCTTCATTACATACACTGTCTTGACAATATGCAGAACACACAGTGTGCTCTTTGTCTGCATTGCGTAAACACAGTAGGGGAATCATGGATGCAAAAATATCTGGCAGGAAGATTGTTGGATAAAAATGGGAATATTAAGATAATTCTTGTGCTTTTTTATGTAATTTCTAGGAAGCAGGTTCTTGGGCTTAGACCACGTGTTTCTTAGAAAAATGTGAAGGATTTTGGCTTTACTATCATCACTGCCTGAAAATGTTAGAAACCAATTTATTATAGTTTCATGTGGTCGAACCAAACCCTTTGCCACTGATTGATCCAGTTATTTAAAATTCTCTGCTCACACAGCTTTGAGATACACTGTCCGGTCCTGTGAGGCAGCAGATCTAGCACAGCACCGGCCTGCTGCTTACAGAATACAAACAATCGTGGTTTAGCTCACTATCGTCAGCAAGGCCTCCAGTCATAGGCGCACATCCCAGTGTAGTGATAGTAGACAATTTATCATCTGTGCAGTTCTGTGGGAAACTTACAAGCTGTTCTCCCTGTGTGCACATTTGCATACTGAGGAGAAAAATCCTTTGTGATGAGGCACATCCTTTTTTAGATTTACTTGTCACAGGGAATCAAGATGTGTAGTGTGTGAAATGTGCTGCATGTAGTTTAACTCCTGCCAGTTGGCTCTTTAAATCTCTTGCTTCGTCTTTATTTTTGTCTGTTCCACGGACACAACTGATGGACAGACTTTTACATGTGCTCCGTTTTACTTGGATTCACTCTTAAATGTTGTAGTTTTTGTGCGAGGTTTCCTACCTTGAACTAGTTTTTTTGTTTTTGTTTTTTTGAATGGTCTTGTTCCTCTCAGGGGAACAGGCTTTTTACCTCACTACATCTCCCGTCACTCCTCATCACTGTCGATATACTAGACACTGTCCGTCTTATTACCTCTCCTGAGCTGCTCCTCTCGGCGCCTCCACTGGAGCCAAAGCCATTAAGCAAATGATCTGGTGTTGTGAGGGGTGAGAGAGATGTTGAAATAAACCACCAGACATTTGACCTTTATGGGCTACTATTCAGACCTTGTAGGAACTCTGTATAAAATCTACACTGTAGGTTTTTTTGCTGCAAACGCTGCACGTAAAAGGCTGGTGCAACCATATTACATAAAGTATCATCTTGCCATCAAAATGGTTACTTTTTAATGCCCAGATTTATGGTGATCAGTGTCTGAGGTGCGTGGAATTTAATTTTCAATAATCGCCTTTGGAAAATTCAACACAATCTTTTCTGTGCTGAAACGTTGTCCTTGGTTAGAAATAATCTACAGATCTCAAAATAGTTTCAGTGAGAACATTCAAATGAAATTATCCACTTCATGGCAACACACCTTAGTTGTTCACACAAAGCATAAAGGTAAAAAACAATATATGCAGTCTTCATTTTAGATGTCACAAAGTATTTGCGGCTCCCAGTGTTTTCTTTTGCGTGGGAACCGGCTCCAAATGGCTCTTTGGGTCCTAAAGGTTGCTGACCCCTGGTTTAGGCTGACGTACAAATATCTCAAAACTCTGCTGGAAATATTTCTGTGTACAACCAGAAGCACATGCAAGGTAAGATTTCAATTAATTTCAAATCATTTTTCATACTTAACATGTTCCACATGTATGCTTGTGCTTGTTTATTGGTTAAAACATCTGTTTCAGTGTAACTCAAAAAAGTTTTTGTTTTTAAAACTATTTTTTAAAAGTGCTAAATTAACTTGAGGGGCATGGAGTTTCTGGTGCTTTTGAACAGCATAGCTTTGTGCAGAGCAGTGTTACTGTGAAGTGGCTCATGGTAACCTTTGTTGTAATCTAACTCGCGTTCATATCAGTTTTCCTGCTAAGCTAGGAAACGAAATGAGAGTGCACACCATCCATTTCTAGATCGCCGGCCACACTAATGTGAGAAATTTTGCTAATTTGCTAATACAGGCATGTTTAATCTTGATATTCACTAAACCTCCTGCTGCTGCCCGGTTAACCAACTTATAATTATCTTCGTCCTCCCCCCTCATTTCCTTTTCATCTGTGTTTGAAATCCTTGTTTAATATCTTTCATCCACCTCTTTAAGATGCATGTTAATCTGAAAATTTTAGTTAAACCATGTGATATGACGTTGGCTCTAAAACATGTGAGCTCATTAGCCTGTGGCCCATGATAGTGCCCTAGTTTGCTTCAGATCATTTCCACAGTCCTTAATGTGTCCCCATCACTGTCCACACATATACACAGCTTACACACTGACTTACAGTAATTCTCTGGCATCTTAATTTAACCATATTAATACCTACCTAACGTATCCCATTATCTTACTTAGGTTATCGTTTCCAGAAGCAAAGGTACGCACACAAATATATGTGCAGTCAATGAAACGTTACGTCAGCTCTACTGCGCTTTGCAGTGCAGGTGATCGTAATCATTCATCTTGCCTCGGATCAGCCACTGCTGAGCACAGCTGCATCTAGTCTAGTCTGTTCTCTGTTAATGGGACTTTTTTCCCCCGCTCATCAGCTATGGCTTAGCTACATTAAGCTACATCAGAGGTCAGCTATTCTCTGTTTCTTTGGCCTGGCTTTTTGTGCGTTTTGGTCGCTCTTGGATTTCTCGTCACAGGGACTTCCACTGTGATTTTTATTAGCCACATCTGTAATCAAAGGAAAATGAAGAATAGGTAGTTGGGGTGATGCCTGCTGGGCAGGAATACAGTTTGATAATCAGGGAGTTTGCTGGTTAATTTCATCTTTTATCTTTCAGAATGAAAGGAGCCAGATAAATCACTAGAGTCGGTCTTATCTTTTTATCAGGAGCTTAAAATTGATATATTCGTTTTGCACAGTTGGTTTTAACACCAGCAGAATGCCACCGAGTGAGCTCATATGACTCTTATCGCTGCAGCTCTGATAAGGTGTTTTCCACTGACTGTGGTTTCTCCTCCTTATCCTATTTAAGCCTACCTGATGAATTTGCATCTGTACAAAGTTTGATGACTCTTTGTTCAAGCACAATGTTGACCTCATAGTTCCCAGAGTTTTGACTATGGTGGCCACCCTGACTCCCCTTGAAACACAACAGATACTACGCTGAGCTCAAAGTCAAACCATAGTTACTTACAGTATTTGAAGAAAAGCACACATGCTTTCTAATTTGTAAGCCATAATGTTTTTTTTTTCATCCCCTGGGAGGAAATCAAGGCTCCAGGCATAGCCGTGTCCTAGTGGATGTGCATACCGATATGATCAGTAGCTGATTTTATGTATGTGATTATGTGTGCACATCTGCATATGTTTTTATTACCGCTGTAACCTTTGGTCCAGCCAGAGAAAGTAATTCCACCCGTGCTACACTATCTTAGCCCTTTGCACTGCCCTTCTCTCAGTTTTGTGACCTGACCTCAGAGGCACACTGTGGTTACATTTTGCATGAAGAAGTGTCAGCATGGGGCACTTTCTGCATTGTTTCTGAATAGAATCCTGATGTCTTGAGCACTTTTCCTGTACCTCACGCATTGCTTTCCCCACTCCCACTGAGAAGCTTGGCAAAACGTGAGCACAGAGAGCCTGGGAGCCATTTCTGCTTGGTTTTATGTTCATAATAAATTTGCTGGCTTATTTTCCTTGCTGTTTAAAAAAAAAAATACATTTTTTTGACAAGATTGATTTGTTGTCTTGTATCAGAGAAAAAAACAGCCAGATGAGGAGCAAGAAAGAGACGAGAAGCAGTAATTGTTTACTGGTGTGCGATTTGTTCCATATGAAACATACATGGCATTCTTGCCAGCGTTTCCTGTTCGCTCCCTTTCTAGTCTCTTTCACTCTGTTGATTACTCTACTAATCTCTGATGCTATTAAATGTTTTACCGTCTGTGCCCTTGCTCAGGGTTCAGGGGGTGTTGCTAGAGTTGCATTATATCAAGGCAAGCATGCTGCATGCTTGACAACCCACATTACACTTCTCTTATGTCATTACAACTCTGCTCCCCTGAAACTGGAGCATCTTGGCACTTTGACAACTCCCCCTCCAGCTCTGTGTTCACCAGCTTATAAAAAGTCTGTTCTCCTGGTTGCCAAAACAAACCCTATTTCCCAGTGACACTCGTGTATTCTACTAAATCTCATGCATGTTCTGCAATTCAGCTTACAGTTCACACAATGACTGTTCTTCCCCCACCTGTTGCCAGATACATGCTATTAAGAATCTAAATATGTCATGCTACCCCTCTAAAACTCCCCAAAATGACAAATTTGCTATCCATTTTTCATGTTTTAAACCAAAGTTCTTTCTGCGATTATCTAGATCATACATCTGTCAAAGGAAGGGCTCAT